AACTGTGCTGGGCCGCACGAATCAACCCACTTGAGCTGCATGGCTCGACCAAGGCGACATCACGGTCAAGTAACGCCTAGATCACCAGCAGAGCTACGAGTTATTCGTGAAAGAGGGCATATGGATTTCAAGGCAGCACTGTCAAGATCTCGAGAAAAAGGAAAGGCCCGCAAGGTCATTAAAATACCAGAAGAAATAATGCATGATAATGAGTAATACACCAAACTCATATAATCACAAACAGAGACATAGCACCCTTCTCTTTCACCAAGTGAACGTGGGAAAGGGCGGACCGAACATGGACATAGCGCTGCAACAAGCTTGGGATGCAGAAGTACACATAGTCATGGTACAAGAACCGTGGACCCTGCGAGAAGACGGAGATTTCACTACGAAAAGCCACCCTGGCTTCAATAGTTTCATACCCTTCGGAAATACGGTACCGAGATCACGACCCCGCGCCGTCACTTTTGTCAGGAAAGAACTGCAAGCGACACAGATTACACCTTCATCATCAAGTCAGACGTCAGACTATTGCTTCGTGCAGGTGTCAGGACTGACCTTTGTAAACGTTTATCGCGCCCCAGGCCCCAGCGGGACTTTGGATCCTTTACTAAACTGGCGTCCCAATGGCCCTTCAGTAGTGGGAGGCGATTTTAATTCAGTCTCACAGCATTGGCAGCCGTTAATAGAACGCCAACACGGTAATGGCGATCTCATCATGGGATGGGCCCACAAAAATAATATGCAGCTACTAAGCACAATTGGAGAAAGCACCCACCGAGACGGAAATGTGCTAGATCTAACCTGGAGTAACACGACGGCTTTTGCAACAGTCTCAAACCGCTTTAACTGTACATCAGACCACCCTACATTTGAGGGCTCAGTCGACACACCCGGGTAATCGGAGCTATCTGGAACCCCAAGACTAACCCGTGTTAGAGACTGTGATCTAGATGAGTTTGCACGATGCGTGAAGCAATGGGTAAGGCCTGGCCCCATAAGTAGTCAAATCGAGATTGAGGACTCCGCGAGGAGCTTAATCCGAGCACTTCAAGATGCGGCCAAAGTTGTCGGACGAGCACCAGCTCTAGGAAGTGGGAAAACAGCGCCTTGGTGGACTGAGGACTGCAAAGAACGACAGATTGACTACAGGGCAGCTAAAAGGACATCTGGAGATACAGGAACGACACGTAAAGCTTTCCGAGCCGCAGTGAAGTCAGCCAAACGTGAGTATTGGACAAAGCAAGTCGAAGCAGCAGAGACAGAGGCACAAGTGTTCAAACTCATGCGATGGGCCAAACCAAAGTCGACAAAACAGCCTCCTCCTCTCCAGGTATCACCAAACCAGTGGCTTTCAGATCCACTCGAGCGGACAATCGCACTGCGTGATTCCCTTCTGGGAAGATTCGACGCTAGAAGCGATGTAGAAACATGGGAGAATAGTCAACCAGAGTCTATCCCATGGAACGGAGAGGTCTCGTTGGAAGAAGTTACAGCGTCAACCATAGGAAGTAAAGAAACGGCTCCAGGGTACGAAAAAATCACCGTCCGACTACTCTAGGCTTGCTGGAGCTCGATTGGAACATATGTCAGGGACCTCTTTCAGGCATGTCTGAACTTAGAATATTTTCCAACACCCTTCAAGGTGGCGGAAGTTGTACTACTTCCTAAAATTGGACGCGATCTCTCCAGCCCAAAAGGATGGCGACCTATATCGTTACTCTCCAGCTTAGGCAAGGGACTGGAAAGATTAATAGCTAAACGGATGTCCTGGCTTGCGCTAAAGTACAAGGCAGTACCTTCTCAACTATTTGGCACGCTACCAGGTCGCTCAGCAGTCGACCTGGTATCGTGTGTCACACACGATGCAGAAGCTACAATGAGATCCAACAAAGTCACAGCTATGGTCACGCTGGACATTCAAGGTGCCTTAGATGCAGTGCTACACAATAGGCTGCTCGCACGAATGCGAAGCCAGGGCTGGCCGCTATCACTCTGTCGCTGGGTAGAATTGTTTCTGAAAAGACGAACAGTCTTGGTAAGACATGAAGAAGGCGTAACAGATGAGAAGCTTGTTGAGTGTGGTGTCCCTCAAGGATCACCACTTTCGCCACTTCTATTCGTGTTATACATCTCGATCCTACTCCAGGATGGCTCTCCAAACTGTAGATTCGGATACGCAGACGACATCGCCATTGTTCGAGTCGGTAAAAGTCCTAGCGAAGCTGTTGAGGCTGTCCAGGTCGAAGTACACAGGATACTCCAACTAGCTTCGTTACACATGATTAGATTCGACACTTCAAAGTCTGAGCTCCTGATCATTGGGGGTGGACCAAAGAAGAAACTTGACTCATCCAACCTAACGGTTGGAGTTGGGGAACAGCTTATTTCGCCTTCTCCGCATAATCGATGGCTCGGAGTTTGGCTCGATTCCCAACTAACATTCAGACAGCATGTTCAGGAATGGTGTATCAAGGCACAGCGACTATCCCACTTCATACATAGCGTAAATAGAGTCCAACGAGGTGCGGCTCCGGGACCATTAATACGTGCAGTGAATGTATGTGTAGTTAGTACGGCAGTGTATGGCGCTGAAGCCTGGTGGCCTGGACTGACCCGTATCACGACGATACGAGACAAGAAAGTAAGTACGGGTGTCGGATGGCACCTCAAGTTACTAGATAGGACTATTTTGACCGCAATCCGAGCTGCACTACCAGTGTGGCGAACTGCACCAAACATAGTCCTGCACCGGGAATCAGGGATCTTACCTGCAGAAATAATGCTTCAGCAGCGACAGCTCCGAGGTGCGGCAAGAATTCGCCGACTCGACAGTCATCATCCACTATCGTCAAGGGCAGTTGAGACACCCAAGGAGGCAATCAAGCGACTCCAACTACGAGAGGGGCAGAAAGAACGTGTCTTTAAGGTTCCACAGCAATATTTAACACGCCTTCAGAATGGGAACCTCAGCCTGACAGCATCAGAAGGGCTTGAGCAGCTTTACCAACCAAAGACAGCGATGGTTACTGCTAGGGCCAAATGCGACTAGGCGAAGCAGATCATGTTTTGGCTCAGGGATCTCCCCCCCCGGAACACTCTGTGTCTACTCGGATGGGTCATCGACCGTCCCAGCATACTCAGCCTATGTTTACGCCATATATAGGGGCGGTGAACTTATAGCGAGCGGTGGAAATTTCTTTCCTGGAGCTGAGGTCTTTGATGCGGAAATCACCGGGACAGTACGAGGCCTAGAGGCAGCGTTAGAAATTGGTGGCAGCACAGATATCAAGGTACTCCTTGACAATCAAGAGGCGGTCAGAGCCCTTCAAAATGGCAGAACAAATTTCTCGCAAATAGAGGTCATGAATTTCTGGGAACTACGGAAGACTCGACCAGCGATAGAGGTCTACTGGGTTCCGGGACATAGCGGCATTCCAGAAAACGAAAAGGCCGATGCGATGGCAAAGGCAATCCTTGCGTCAAATAATCTGGATGGAAACGTACCGGGACTAGAGTGCATCTGGGATGAAACTCACGAAGTTTTGACTTTTGCAGCTCTCAGACGCCAAGTCAACATCCGGGTACAAAAACTTGCGGAAGAATGGTGGCTTAAAAACAGATCAAGTAGGTATGAAGATCTGGAACTATTGATAAGGAGAAAACGCCCTCTGGAGCTAGCTCTACCTCAATGGGCATATCACCGCCTTATCGCAGCAAGAACTGGGCATGGTGACTTTGCCAGCTATCATAGACGGTTCCAACACCAGAATGAAGAAATGCTTTGCAAATGTGGCCGAGAAAAGCGGCCATGGTATTTTGCAGAGTGTCGCCCGACTATCCAGAAATCGAGGACAGAAACGAAAGAACCACGTCCTACAATCAGGGATATAATAGGGCAAGAAGGATGGCAGAAATTCTGGCGTTTCTTAGCTGTAATAAAGTGTTACAGCAAGATTAAATCGTGAACAGGGGATGTAAAGGTGAGCTGTAATGCTTCTTGGCACCGTTTGGTGTGATACGAGAATTAAGGTGTAGCGCAGAGCGCTAGCACATTAGGATTGGTGTTTTATTTGTTTTAGTTTTGTGTGTTCAAATTTCTACGAAACAATGATGTAGGTAGCGAAGAGTCGTATAGATCTGGACTACCCGTGCCATGCCCTCTGGGTGCTGGGGTAGTACCCGGTCACTATAAAAATATCATCATCATCACAATTGAATTTCGGCTCTGAGATAATATTTAACTTCCAGGTTCTTAGATGACATGACCGGCAGGTGTATAGCCTTTGTCCTCCAGCAGACAGAGATTGAAGAAACGGCGCTACCACTCAAAAGGCCAAAGCAATTTCATGGTGTAGTGACTTTTGACAATGCGTAACCGTGCTGCAAGAATTCGGACCAAGGAGAAGGCATCGGCAAAGAAATGCACGGAGTAAGCTGAGTGCTATGAGAATCCTACAATCGTTGTCTCGATTTTCTTTCTTCGTACAACTTGTCTAGATGTAGTATTTCACCTACTCATGTAAACTTAGCTAGTCAGGCTACATGAACTTCCTAACACTACATGGAATTCATCCGTAGTAGTAGTGCTCTGCATTCAGCTTGAAAACGCTTTTCTAAGCTGCTTATGCGGAGAAGAGAAGTCCCCTAAACATCTTTTCTGATACCATTCCTCCTAAGCGCCATTTTGCCAAATGTATTTTGTCGACCCTTCTTGATGTCTTATCCCAGATTTGGTAGAATATTTCGGTCCCAGGATCGTAGAGGATAGTGTTAGGAACTTGTAATTTTTGATCTTTCGTAAATGTAATCGTGAAGAGTTCTACACTTAGAGTTCCACGTCGGAATTTGCTTGATATGCCAGAGAGTTGAGTGAGCACTTCAATTTGTTTAAACTCCAAAGTTACACGAGAACTCTCTTGTATATGACTACCATCGGGCGATCAGAGATGGAAGACCAAGTTTTATTGAGATGACTTTGACTCCAGAGTTTTGTATCACCAAAATGAGTAGTTCCCTAGTTTCAAGTATATACAACTACACACTAAGCTACCTGTTGCCCAAAGAATATCCAGTTCGATAACAGACCAGATCCAGAGGCAGCCGAGTGGAGGCACTTGCTTCATGACGGCGTAAAATGGATAACGATTGGTGATGTGAATGAAATAGCTCCCAGCTATCATGCTACAGGTGAAGAAGAAAAGTTGATGCGACAAAGGCTGAATTTTCATGGGCAGCGCCGGCGTAAGATGTGAGGGGAATGGATGAGGATGGAAGAGATAAATGAGGAGAAGGGTGACTGTGCTCATTCAGTTGTGATCTGGATCAGAAGGCCGCAGTAGGATTCTTTACCTGGAAATGCCTGCGTTGCTCTTAACAGAATAGATGACCAATCAATTTCCTCGACATACTGGTGCGTTACGAGCAGGTCCATTGTTAGGTGTAGCATTGTCAGGCTTATACTCCATAATATGGCTTCGGGCAATCTTCCAACCGTTACATCTGTCTCGCTATTCTGCTCTGCCCTAAATAATTGACGCTTCTCAGCTATTTCTAGCAGCGTCTTTGACGTTTGATCATTCGGTGTTTTCGTTGTCATCACAACTGCCAGTAGTAAATTTTAACGTCGGTTTGTGTGGCTGAACGGATTTGAAGTTGTGTGCACATGTAGCTCATGGATTGAATCTCGTATTAGTCAGCCGAGTCCCCATGGGGCTAAGAAAACATGGACACGATCGACCCTAATTGCTATCAATCAACGATATCAACGCGTTTGTGTTCCATCGACATAGAACTAGATCTATGGCAGGCTAAGAAAGGTAACTTTTTTTTTCTGATTCAATTCAAGCTTGGTTACTAAGACCCTATTTTATCATGCTGCTCCGTTTTTATGGTAAAACGTAGTGAAACCTAAGATGGTGTCTAGTGCGGAGTGCCATACTTAAATACGTGTTGTCAAGTCAAACCTCTAAGAAAAGGGACGGACTCTTGCTAATAGCCTCATTTCCATGGTATTGCGTAGTATAACTGTTCCATACAGAGCTCTATGGCTATTCTGTTAATTCATGTACATTGAGACCTAACGTGAAGGAATATTCTTCTTCACGCAACGCCTTCTATTTACATTTATGCCTCATACCCATAAACATCTCTATTCTCTTAGAGACCGCTGTCCTTTTACTAAAATCATTCCTTGCTCAAGTTACTTTCACCTCTTGCGTGAATACTGTGCCTTACGTTGCGTCCATACTTTCTTCCCATAAGAATTATCACTGCACTCCACAGGTCCCATAACTCGTACCGCATGGAACAGAGGTAATACAATTCCCTGAAATGCGTCCTCTTTAAGTGAAAACGGATCGTCAAGTGTTCATTGTTCCCTCTGACTCTTAGAGATGGCATTATTTCTCCGTTCGACGGGCCTTTGCGCATTAATTACCTCGCAGCTTAGGCTTCGTAGAAAAGTTGGCTGAATTCTACCGCTAGACACTGGGCTGAAGGACTATGCATCAGGAGCATAGTATCAGAGATTCTTTTGTTGAAAAAAAAAGGAGATATGAATATTCAACAAAGAGCTGTCTGAGTCATAGAGGGGTCCAATATGCCTGAAAGTCCCAGACCCAGGCAGTATTGTACAAACAAACTTACCATGGAGTTTCGTCTCGTGTCGGGGGAATATTCTCAACACCTGCCAGTGGTGTCCCCTACGAACCTTCAGCTCTCACTGTTGAGTTTGCAGAGCCGAGATTGAGTAACAAAGTCCTCACTTTGACGAGGATTCCCAATCGCTTTCGCGGTCTGTATCGTCTTCATCTCTCAACACATTCCCCTATCACAATTATCATGAAGCTATCCACGATCCGACCAGATGGTAGGGTCGAAGCCCTTCTCGTAATCAACCCTTGGTTATGGAGAAAAAGCCATCTGATGAGTTTCCGGAGCGTACCTAGCGCCCAATACAGAGATGGTGGATTGGATCTAGTCAACCTCAACTATTACAAAGAAGGGAGATATAGATGAATATGCGCACCTCATGTGGTTCCGGTGTCTAGGCCTCGCTTGGCTGGACTGCAGGTTTTTTGAGACTTTTTCCCGCACACGCAGTTTCCATTGCTACCATTTTTTTTTGGGTAGAAGGTTCCGTGGAAAAGGTGGCCGAATTCCACGGGTAAACACTGAGCTGAATGGCTATTCATCAAGGGGAATATATCAATGATCTTTCAAGTAACAAAAGAAGATAGGAGCACTGTACAAGGTGTGGCCTGGGTCAGAGAGGAGCCCAATATGCCAGATAGTCTATGACCCAAGTAGTACAATAAACAAACACTCACACTCAGATTTCACTCGCAGATACTGCTCGAGGTTAACCCTTACGGCGAACAACCTCTTCCGTGCATACCCACCACAGGGAAAAGCGTTAAAAGCCCGTGGCTATCCAAGTGTGCTTTAATCATCCCACAAGTACAATATCACGGCGAGAGAGAGTGGTGTATGGGTCTTACTGGATTCGAGCCAGCTTTTTCCTGTCTCCAATGGGTTAGGTGTTCAAGCTACCCAGTATCTACTTGGGAGAACGGCCTGAATGGTGTACCACTGCACTATCCAGCCAAGTGGAACTCTATACATGCTCGCTTAACCAATACACTAGTGATGTATACTGTAGCCTTGAGTCACACGTGATGCCCTAGCCTTGACAACCTCGTTGTCTCATCATAATACTTCTGACCTGCCAAGCTCCCGCATCACCCCAGAGCTCGCTAGTATGGATCGCCGGTCCCTTGGCCTTCTTCTCGCTGCGCGGTCTGGCCATGGTGATTTTGCAGCATACCACCGTCGTTTCGCACACAACAGCGCACCTTTAACATGCTCCTGTTGACATGATAAATCGCCGGAGCATTTCATGACCTGTCAACATGGCCTACTACAGGCGCGGCTTCGTGGAGCCAATCGCCCCCGTCCCCCAGACGCTCGCTGGATTTTAAGCTCACCAGAAGGAGCTATCTTGTTCCGAGACTGGCTTAAGTCCACTCTATTTTTTCGAAGAGTTTCAAAGGTACCATTAATGGGGGAAGCTCTGTTTGCACCTACATTTGTAGGACAGCCCTGATTACTTAGACATCAACGCTATCTAAATACGAATATCCACATGTAGTTTAAGTTCCGCTTTTAATCATAATTTATATCAATTTAAGAAGAGTCTCACTGATCTGGCGACTATGCGGACCGGGAGCAGTGGGGTCTTTATCGGGTTTTTGTTATGGGAATGCCGGTGCGTCGGGTAGCCCTTCATAGGCTGAGCTAACCGGCATGGGGCTTTAAAGCACTGTGTTGTGCGCAGGCACGACGTTAATATAAATAAATAAATAATACTTCTGACCTCGCTGCGGTATCTGTGCCGCAGACTCCCACAATGGTCCTTGTAGTACTCCTGTTAAGTGCCTAAATTGCGCCGGACTTCACCCAGCATCATCTCTAGGATGCCCAGCTCGCCCACTACGTGTCAACGGAGTATTCGTACGACCGGACAAAAATAGATTACGGGCTATGCGGCAAGAAGGTCACAGGGCCTGGGCCGCGATAAACCCACCTTCACTCCCACTCCCACCAACAGGAACGATGGAAACTCTACAAACAAAAGCTGTGCCCGAAGCGACCTCGGTTGCCTCAGCAGCTATAGTTGAATCTGGATCTAGATTCCCCCCCCCCTGATCACCATGGAAGAACAAATATGATGACCCGAGGTCGTCGATGCAGAGAGCAGAAATCTGCTGGTCTCTGTGTACTCCAGGTGAATGTTGGAAAACGTGGGCCAGCTCATGATACGGCTCTTTAACTTGCCTATCAAGTAGGTGCAGATATCGTGCCAATCCAGGAACCATGGATCTTTTCCGACTATTCACGCAAAACTACTAAAACACATCCAAGTTGTTCTACTTTTACCCCAACTCTCGACTGGTATTCCAGACCACGCGTCATGACTTATACTCGCAAAGGTGTTGGTCTATCCCCTTTCTAGTCAGCAACACACTCCCGAGATTTGCTCCAAATCTGTATCCGACGGAAGAGCAAACGCCAAGTAGAAATTTTCAACCTATACAATGCCCCAACTGCTTCTGTGGACGCAGGAGCAGGACTTGTCAGTCTGTTGTCTCTTACACAGTCCCCAGATATCTTAGCAGGAGACTTCAACATCCGTCATTCGCTTTGGTACCCCGCAGTGCGAAACGACGCATGCGGTGAATCCCTCTTAACTTGGGCAACTTAAAAGGGGCTCCTTCTACTAAACAATTACGGAGAATCTACTCATGACGCAGGCTCTGTTCTCGACCTATGTTTCGTGAAAGAGTGCTTCAAAGCTAACTAAAAAGTTCGACATGATCTCGACGTCGGCTCAGACCACAGGACACTATTTTTTCGAATCCTAGATGGAGGCCCCGAGGACCCTAACCCTGGCCGACTTCGATATGCCGCCGCTGACTGGCCTGCATTTAACAATAATTTGAGGGATCGTCTTAGAAACTCTCAAATGCCTGACGTTAACGAGGAAGCTACCTTTCTTGCAGAAGCCATTTCAGGAGCCTTACGTGCAGCCTGCCCAAGGTCCAGAAAACAAGGTAGCGGACGTCGCTGGTGGACTGAGTTATGCTCAGGGTTCACCGTAACTTTTGTCAAATACGTCGACAGGGTTCACATGCCGTGAATGCACGCCGCAAATTTGCCAAAACTGTTAAAAAATCCAAGCGATATTACTGGCGTAACAAGATTGACCAAGTAGCGAGTCTCATAGAGGCATATAAAATTACTAGGTGGCACAAGAAACAAACAGCCAGCCCTATGCTCCCTCTCGCCGGACCTTATGGCCCTGTAGCTACTCCTGAAGCAAAAGCTCAAACTTTCCGACAGGCCCTACTGAGTAGATTCTCGCCCCAAGACGACATTCCAATCAATACACTAAGTGTTATCACGGACCAAGGGCCTATTCTGAGCCAATAGGAACTATGTACGAAGATATCCGTGGCTTTCTGCTAATGTTCTATCCTAATCTGTTCTGTTCTGTTCTATACTTGTCTAGACTATTCTATTCTATGTGAGAGTATACTGGAAAGTTCGAGAACAATAGAGAGAAATATATAATGGGTAATTGGGATGACTATGGTTCGGCAGATTATGGTCTTGTATTCTTAGGAACCTTTCGACAATATTGAATTTGTATACATCTTGAGCTTTTGACATCTCCGAATATTGATTTATTGAACTCTCGACTCATTGAACTCTCGACACCTTGACAAGTGTTGCCAGGAAAGATCTCCCATGGCCCCCAATCACCGAGGAAGAGATATTTCCCGCATGCTGTCAGGTCTCGTCTACAACCCAAGGACCTAACGAAATAACCCCGAATTCTCTCCGTCAAGCATGGCAAATAATTGGCAATAGGGTGTCAGCTCTCTTCTACCGGTGTGAAAAGCTAGGAATACACCCGCTAGCCTTTAAGAAGTCAACAGAAATTATCTTTCCGAAATCAGGAAACCGAGATCTCACCCTCCCGAAGTCTTACAGACCGATCTCTCTACTTTCGTGCCTTGGTAAAGGCTTCGAGAG